GATGACCACCTGCATGCTTTCTACTCTTGTATGCAAGCTCAGAACGCCTCTGACGCGTTGATGTGCAAAATCTTCCCCTCTACTCTTCGAGGTAATGCCCGAACTTGGTATTACAGTTTACCTCCGAGGTCAATTAGCTCGTATACAGAAATGGCATCTGCCTTTGCCACTAAGTTTTCTAGTAGAAGGTTGATTAGGAAAACTACTTCTCAGCTGATGAGAGTTAAACAGAGAGATGGAGAATCTCTGAAGAACTATATGAGCAGGTTTAATGATGCAGTTTTAGAGGTTAGTTCCTTTGATCAAGCCATGGGGATTGCAGCTGTGATCTCCGGTCTTAAGCATGACAGGTTCAGAGATAGTTTGATCAAACATGCTGCCACCACCTTCAGTGAGGTGAACGATAGGTCTCTGAAGTTTATAACCGCTGAGGAGTATGCCCTGACGCAAAACCCACCCCCCACTAAGAACCAGAACCCAGATTGGAGAGATGACAATCTGAGCCGGAAAAGGATGAGGATGGCGCAGAACCGAGGTCCAGTGTTGACCTCCCCACCGAGATTCGGAAGGCTGAACTCCACACCCCCGCAACAATCTGCAGGTAAACCTCCAGTTAATTGGACTCCCTTTAATCTGCCGAGGTCACAAATTTTTATGCAGATCAAAAATAAGATGGACTTGAGACGTCCTGGCCCAATGCGAACTGCTGCTGCTAGTCGAGATCATACCAGATATTGTGATTTTCACCAGGATCATGGCCATACTACAGAACAGTGTAATAGTTTAAAGTCCGAACTGGAAAGTTTAGCTCAGAAGGGAATGCTGAATGAGTATGTTCAGAGAACTGAACAGCCGAGATTTGTCAGAGAACAGAGGTCGCAGCCTCAAGGAGTCCGCAATCCCCCAAATAGACAAGGTGTGGGATATCAGCAAGCCCCACCTCCGCTCCCACCACCAACTAGAATCATACACATGATTACGGGAGGCCTTGAAGAAGGTGGACTGAGCTCTAAGCAGCGAAAGCTGTATGTTAGAGAGGTTAAACATCAAAACCGAGCTCAGAAGTGGAAGATTGACGATGCTGAGTGGAAGAATCAACCCATTACTTTCACATCTGCTAACCTCGACACAGTTGTTACACCCCACAATGATCCTCTAGTCACTTCTGTCATGATCAATAACTGTGAAGTACAGCGTGTCCTTGTTGACACTGGGAGTGCACCAGACATCATGTACTTCCACTGTTTCGAGAGTCTGGGACTAGATCCAGCATTGTTGCAGAAGTATGATGGTCCTATTTATGGTTTCAACAACCAACCTGTTCCGGTAGAAGGAGTTCTTACCCTCCATGTGGCTTTTGGGAGTGGCCGGACCTATGTAACCCCTTCAGTCCGGTTCCTCGTCGTCAAGATGGGGCAGAACCCTCAAATCGCCCCCTGACAAATATGGGTAGGGACGGATCCACCCCTCAAAAAAAAGCAGGGACAAATGACACCCCAAAAGTATCGATTTTCCCAAATTGATCATTATCTAACAGGCGACGTCATCACCGTCATGATCTCCGTTTAACCTGTGCCAGCGTGTCATTTTCTCACACGCTGGATGCTGATATGTACCAATTCCGCTCTTTTTCACACACCGTGTCATTTGCGCACCCTTAGTTCAGAATTTTCAAAGTTGGGGGTTAGGGTTCTCTTCAATTCAAAACCACAAAACCTTCAAAACCACACAACCACAAGGCTTTCTCTCATTTCTGCAATTCCTTCCTGAAATTAGTCGAGGGAAAAAGATTGTGGGTGTTTGTGAGTTTATTCGCATGGAATCTTCCTCTAATTCTGGAGCTGGACCTGATCGAAACATCCCCATTAATAAACCTCGAAACATCACTGTCAATGCCGATTACGTTTGAACCAGAAATCTCCTTAGCCAAAATACCATCCTTTTTCTTCTCCACGCTATCTATGAAGCTCGTGAGCGTATCACGAGCACAGATGCCCACAAGCAAGGGATTCCTCCTCCGCGCTAACACCTCGCCAATCCTTCTACAGTTTTCTTCTCCGTCGAAAAAGGCGGCAAAGCTCGGAAACGGGAAGCTGAAACTCCGACGAGGGCCCTGGTCGTTGTCTGGATTCGAATTCTCCAAATTACAGAGGAAGACAGGAGGACCGCGTGGTCGAGGGTATCTGAGGAGATTGGGGAGCGGCCGGATAATGGCGAGCTTGATTTCGGAGCTCCAGAAACTCGCTTCGACTTTGATGCACGAGATATTGGACAGGTTCTGCTGCGAGATATCGCGATACAGATGGAAATTCTTGGGCTGCCTCCGCTGGTTGGCTTGGGACCGTTTTATTGCCGCCATGAGCGGGTTCGACACGGGTGGTTCATGCCCGACCTGCTGACTCGACGGCACGCGGTCCAGCGATACGCTCAGGCACAGGTCCAATGCCTTGAACTGAAGGCGCGGGGAGTGCGCAGCGTTCCGAGCCGGCACGCAGGCCTCACGCAAAGGGGAAGAAGAGAGCGACAAGAGCGCTAACACCGCGTGAAGTGAGGTGGTCTGGGCATGACCCCTCCGACGAGCTACCCCAACTGCCTCGTCAAGTGCGTTGGCTGCCTCCGGCGTCAAGCATTGCCTGGCCACTGTCACCGGTGAGCATATACCCAATAAAAATGACTTAAAAAAAAAAAGACGCCGGCGAACACAGACAAAGATTAGAACTTTATTTGTCCCAATTGAAAAAACTTTAATTAAAAATAACACAATCGGAAACGTGAAGTGGGCATGATTTATTTAATGAGGGAAGACTGAGAACTGTTGCTTGGTGGTGGGGCCTCAGAGACAGAGACATCAAGAGGGAAAAAAAATGGAAGAAAATTGAAATGGAGGAAGAACCCAGGTGGGTAGTATAGATTCTGTTTCTGGTTGTATTACGAAACCTAAGATCTTTTCATAAGTACACATCAGCATCCAGCGTGTGAAAAAATGACACGTTGGCACAGGTTAAACGGAGATCGTGACGGTGATGACGTCGCCTGTTAGATAATGATCAATTTGGGAAAATCGATACTTTTGGGGTGTCATTTGTCCCTGCTTTTTTTTGAGGGGTGGATCCGTCCCTACCCATATTTGTCAGGGGGTGATTTGAGGGTTCTGCCT